GTAGGCCGCACCCCCTAGCGGCAGAAGCTCGTACTACATCCGGTTCGCCCTCTATTGACACAGTCTTGAAACTTTCCGATCGCACCTCGTATCTTATAATTAATATTTAGATTTATATGATACTGATGTTTTAAGACAACAGGCAGTCAGCGAGCAGCATTTTTAATTGTATTTAGTGTGTATTAAAGCATGTCTCTGAAAATATATCGTGCACTCTCTTAATATTTTATGATAATTTTTACAAAAACAAAAGTTAAATATGAAAATAAACTTAAAATTAATTTAATGTAACAGGCGCATTTATGATACAGGAATGCGCGATTTTTGGAGATCGCCTAAAGCGTCATATTTCTTCGCAGATCTTTTCCGTTGACCACGTGGAGATGCTCATGGATTTGGAGCGAGGCGATGTAGCGGAGACTGTGAGCGTTTTCTTTGAGCAGAGCGTATGTGTGCAGCCTGCCAAGAAGAGTGTTCTGTCCTTGCAAGATGTGAGTGTTATGACGCAAAGACCCAGAAGTGTGGAACCTTTTCACTCCACTTGTCTTGTTTTGAGGCTAACATCTATTTATCCAATTAGCAGTTGGAAGGCTTTCCTCAGGGAGTATCTGAGTCTTCTAGTATTGGTACTTGCGTATCCTGTGTGGGATTACTTTAATTTTTTTTTTTCCTAGAGGAACGCAGAAGTTTTACTAGAGGCTAGTAGAAAGTAAACTCAGAAAAAACTAAGTACATGTTAGTATCTCGTCATCAGAAGACAGGCAGGCAAAATTATCTTAGGGTGGCTAATAAATCCTTTGAAAGGGTTACAAAGTTCAAATATCTGGGAACAACAATAACAAATCAAAATGATACTTGTGAGGAAGTTAGAAGGAGACTAAATTCCGGAAATGCTTGCTACTTCTCAGTCCAAAATATTTTGTCTTCCCGTCTGATTTCTAAGAACCTGAAAATTAAAGTATACAAAACAATAATCTTGCCTGTTGTTTTGTATGGGTGCGAAACATGGTCTCTCACTCAGAGGGAGGAACACAGATTGCAGGGTTTTGAGAATCGGGTGTTGAGGAGGATATTTGGGCCTAAGAGGGAAGACGATGGGGCGTGGAGAAAACTGCACAATGACGAGCTTAAAAATCTGTACTCCTCCCCCAGTATTGTGAGGGTGATTAAGTCAAGAAGAGTGAGATGGGCGGGACATGTAGCGCGCATGGATGGGACAAGAGGTGTGCACCGGGTACTGGTTGGGAAACCTGAAGGGAAGAGACCGCTGGGGAGACCTAGACGTAGATGGGAGGATAATCTCAGGCGGGATCTATGGGAGATAGGAGTTGAAGGAAACTGGATTTTGTTGGCCCAGGACAGGGTCCGGTGGAAGGCTTTGGTTAATTCGGTGATGAACCTTCGGGTTCGGTAAGCCATAGACTTAGTCAGTCAGTTAGTATACTTTCCAAGTATTGTCTGATTTTCAACAGATAACTAGCAGAACATAGGCAAAATTTATTATTTACCCAACGTTATTAGCCTGATCAACTCTAGGATGGCGAGATGGAATAAGCATATTGTATGCACGAGGAATATGAGAAATAATTTTAAAATTCTAATAAAAAACCTCAATGAATGAGGCTACGTGCTTTTGTGAAGCATAGAGAAAAAGGGACGTGATACTGAACCGAAATAAAGTTTCGTGGAGAAGAGATCAAAATGACAGGTTCTTGTGAGAGAGGTTAGGATCTGGTACCTAAAAAGTGGGAGCTAACACGACCAAGTCAGATATTACGAATTTTTACGAAAGAATATATTAGTAATGAAAATGTATCTGCAATTATACGTATGTAAATACACGTATATCTTATTCTTAATACTATTAATGTAGCAAAAAAGAATAAAATATTCCAGTTGAATATATTATGTGCGTTAAGACTTTAATTATGTTTTAATTTAATCTACATACAAAGACCAAATATAAACAAGGTTTGAGAGGAGGAATATACTGCAGAAAATGACTTTACTGTTTGACATGGCGTCGTCAAAAAGACAGAGGATTATGGAGAATCTGAATATGCGTTCGGACGAACCTCAGACTACCAGAAGCAGCGCGACTGGATTACATCTCACTCTTCGAAATTCGTAACAGCAGGCAAGTTACCTGCGGTCTCTAGATCCGTGCTAAAGTTCTTCTTCAGTTTCAACGATGTTGTTTTAGTGGCATCAAAACCACAGCCCAAACAGCTGAATAGACGTACCTTGAATTAGATAATTACTGGAGAGAACTTAGAAATGCTCTGTTTAGATCCAAAATAAATTTAAAACCACAATATTCAATTCTTAGTTTATTTAATCATAATCTATTAGTTATGGATCTTCATGCAATGGAATGAATTTAAATAATGATTACTACAGACGTGGAGAAAAGACGTGGTGTATTTTTAAACTGACTTCTCAGTGTTGTATGTTAATGTTATTCTTACACATTTCTTCCACTGCAGATACCGCATAGATTAAATCTGTTGTATTTTGTCTCCACTGCACCAAATTAATCACAAGGTCTATGATTTTCTTTTAATTTTAGATATTGTAATTGTCGCTGATCCAAAGTCTAATTTCCTTAAAAATGTGATCATCAGAATTAACATTAGGTATCACTCAGTAATGTAAGTTTCCTTCCCAAATGAATTCTGGTTGTCTTATGACTTAATGTTTGTTGTACGTTCTTTAGGATTGAAACCGTCGAGTAGACTCTTTCCTTGTTCAGTTCTCAGTTCGACACCAAAATGGCCAGACTGATTAATATGACCCTTGATAGTACCGGTAATGTGTAGTCATTTTTCTGCTGCTTTCTTATAATAAACAATATTTACAGATGCACAGCCAATGACTTGAAAATGATTATCCGGCTAGTGAAACATGACCTCCGCATTAATGCTGGACCAAAACATATGTAAGTATCTAAGTGTTTGTTTGTAAACAAGTTTCTTTATGACGATAAAACAAAACAATATTCTTTGGGATTTTGTATTAGACTTTTGCAGGAAGTCAAATGGCAATTAGTACAGTATTTATTTATCTGTCTTTAGTATTTGGTGTGGTATTTGAGTATTTTCTTTTAATTATATGCTAAGAACTTTATGAAGTTTGGAATTTAACCTTTATTACATGGGAATAGGGACTGCTGGCTGGACTTTAACTCCAGGGTTAATGGTTTTCAAGTTTGCTAGCGTAACGCACAGCCAGTACAAGCCATAAAACACGTGTGATAGAGGTTAAAGGAAAGTTTCCAGCATAAGCATTGAAATATGTGAGAAGTAAATTGATCTTTCCAGCCTTTTTAAATCCTTTCTACTTCGGTAATTGTATAACTTTGTTTGTTGTGCGCTCAGTTTATTTTTAGGAAGACGTACAGAGTAGTCGAAGCAAATGGCAATAGAACAGTCTTGACATAAGAATCATTGTAACTTGTTTACATCTTCGTAGTGTGATATCTTGTGAAGTGGTCAGTCATGTGAAAGCCTGGTGTACGCATTTCCTTTTTGTCCCATTCCTCAGCGTGAGCATGCGACATAGTCTTTGTGTTTCCCATCGGTTGTGGCTTGATGAAATGTAAGTAAAGTAAAGCTGCCCCACTATACGCCATGTATCGCTTGGGGGGAGCGGGGGTATAGCTCCTCTCTTCCTTGACCTCGGCACTAGATGGGGGTGAGCGGTCGGCATCACGCCCCGGCCGTGCTTTACCCCGGGGAAAGGACCCCGGTACCCATTGTAGAGGAGGCTGGGTGGGCCCCAGAGCCGGTCTGGACACAGAAGCTGGAGGAAAAATCCTCTGCCCCCGTCGGGGATCAAACCCCAGTCACTATACCGACTGAGCTACGCTGGCTCCGTGATTAAATGTACATTTCCAATTAATCATTTGACTGTCGCATGGGTGCCAAGTAAAATATATCGGAACCGTTTGCCCCTTTTCTGTTTCGCTTATTTGTTTGCCTCAGACACATTATTTTGGCAGTGCAGGAGCAAAACATAGTTTGAAAGATTTGTATCAGGGTATATGTTCCAGCAATACTGAGTTGTGGCTATTATTTTCTGTGATATTTTCCCATCTTCACATGATTTTAGCTGTTTTTTGTGCTAAGATTGTAACACATATAGCACAGTACCAAAACTATGTTTATTTTGTTAGATTTATCTCTACCTTCAAAGTTGTGCCAAATCACGTTCTTATAATATAATAAATTCTTCTCAGGCTACTAGCTTAATAAAGAAAACACCAATGTTTTGAGAACCATCTTTGTCCTCGTCCTCAGGGTACTGTAGTTGTGGGAGATCCCTTCTGTGCTCAGTGTCTATCTGACCCAGTTTTGTGTTACTGGCTGTGCGTTAGCCAATCGGGCCTGGTGTTCAGTGACGTTCTTGCTGTTTTTAGCCCAGATTTTTGATTGGACGACGTGTTCGTTACCGGGCACCAGGTCCGGCTCAATGAGAAATCCCCGGAGTTCAGTTGAATTTCAATGACTTCCTTCAGGAGGTGGTCCATTTAACCAGTTATCTTGTCTAATGTGGTGGTACTGCTGAAGTCAATGCGGTGTCC